TTCAGATTATTTCTTTTTCTTTTATTATTTTCAAATTACTGTGAAATATAAATGATTCAAATAAACTCGGAAAAGAAAAATTAATTTTATGCTTGAAAGGAATTTTGCTAGAAGATTTAAAAATTTTACTACAGATTTGAAAATAATTTTGTTGAAGTATCGATTTTATCGGAAACTCAAAAATGAACGATTGTTGTGTAAAATGCTTTAATATTCTAGCAACCACTTTGAATTTCCAACAAAATTATTTTGATAGTCCAACAAAATATATCAGTAAAATTTTTAAACCTTTTAGCAAATTCGTTCTTTCTATGAAGTAAGAGACAATATTTATTTCTCGTAAGATTGCTCCGCCTGAGTATTCGATGCCTTTGCTAGGTCTTTGTCTCTTCTTTCTCTGGCTGTTCGAGTCAGCTTCGTTGGATTCAATTCTCATGCCGTTCTTTTCTGAATAATTTAAATAATCAATTCGATTAAAAGAATAGACGGTACTTTTGTATACGATATAACATATAAAAATCAACTTCACTCTCTCAGGCTATCTGGTGGATTATCATTTCGTACGATTCTCTTGATGCGAAGTAGTTAATTACAATTGCGCGATATTTTTTTGTATTGCACTCCCGATGTTCTGCGCGACACAACAAACTGGAGTTTTTTTATTTAGTTAAATCGGCGAGATGAGATGGATCAGCTTCTTCGTTAGGACATTGAATCTTTCGTGATACCGAATCCTTCTATCACTTCAAGAACGTAGTCATGGAGGAATGAAGAGCTAAATTAATAATATGAGTATCTATCATCTGTTATTGAATTTTACAAATTATGCAGTATTGATTCTAATTGCTCTACTAAATCTGTCTTTTACCTTATGTACAGCACTTACGTAATGGCCGATCAATTATACCAGATTGATTAATAGCAAGCTTTTAATTATTACACGCAACAAAGTGATTGATTGTAAAAAGAAATTACATAAATATAATTTCCATATTTATGATAAAATGTTCGATTTTGAGTTATAACAACATGCAATTAATTATATGGAATTAATTATAAATAATTGTTGCGCATTAATTTATTTACAAGTTCAAAATACAAGTGTGCTATAATATTACTATTTCTGCTACCAATAATCGCTTGTAATTAATTTCTTGCTTTCTTGCAATTATTAAATCTGCATTTATGCCATTTTTATTTGAAGAAGGAAATCAAACACAGAGTTTAAAAATATAATCAATTATAATGTATTGATACTAGAATTGAGAAATATGTTTAATTTAAAATATATTTTTACTTTTTTTTTATTTCTATAAATGAATATGTGCTGTATATTTCAAATAGCTTTTATTTCATATAATTACTATTCTATTGCATAGATTTTTTTAAATGTAAGCGAACGATCAATAATTAATGCATGATTAAAAATTCTATATTTTATGAGCTTTGTGTGTGTGCGTATACTTGTACGCACAATGAATGAACAGATTGTACGTATTCCAGAGTTAAACATTTATACTAATTTGCCCTAGGCCATCCATTTCAGGGCAATGGGTCTGTGGAATGATGTATTTAACTGTAATGTTCAGATCCGTTACCTCACTTTAAGTTAAAAGAGAAAGATACTCACCGATGCGATGTTCTACCAATGAATCTGACGTCGCCAAAGCTTCGTCTTCGTCTCAAGTTCCTTTCGTTGCGCACTTACGGCGAAACCTTCGCGGAAACGCGATCCATAATCACGATACTTTATTAGACACTCCCGGATTACCTAACAAACGATTTGGCGTCTGTTACACACATCCAACGATTTGCCGACAAATTAGAACGTCAATTTCACAGTGACGTCGACGCCGCGCGGATACAACACGAGTCAGCAGTCAATTAAAGTGCGAGCGAATCGAAAATATACAATCGCGCACTTACAATATAATACGAGCGTATAAATTCTGCAGGATACAAGTGCTATTAAACGTTCGATACATCACAGCTCTCCATTACTTAAATCACACGATCCGCGTACGCCGTCACATTAATCGCACGATTCGCATATTCCGCTCTCGATGCGAAAGACAAATTACTCTCAAATTGACGGACGCTACGAAACGTGATGTGGGACGCGTTTGAATTCCACAAGAAATAACCGTTGTCCAGTAAGCAAATCGTGACCAAACCTTAATTTGGAATTCTGATCTTCCCTTCGCTTCGATCGAACTCTGTGGATCAAACAAAGGTATCTGCTTCGTAACGAACGCGACATTAAATCATGTGAATCGCAATATTTTATCAATCGCACAAGGGATTTTTAATCTGACAGTCAACAGAGAAAGATGTATCTCGTGACTATAGTATTCTCTCTATGCTTATCGTGTCGCGTTTCGTAATAGCACTACGCACCGAGCGGATTGCTCAGCTACCTGTCGATTCGAATGTCGGGATGGGAATGATTGCACAACGTCCTTTTTTGTAAACATGCCGCGGCATAGAGCGACCGTCCGAGTGTCGGTTTACAAATGGTGCAGCTCGGTGATTTTGTGTACGTATCAACAAAAGACCAAGACTATACATACCGTAAAAACAAATCCAAAGCTCTAATCATTTCGAAATATTTAATATTTCATTGAATAAATTTATTTGAAATAAATTTTTATCTTACTCAATTTTTCGCTATATCTCGAATATCTAATATTTTCAAAGTAACATCTCGCTTCGTATTAAGGTACGTAATACCTTATAAAATTTTATCTTGAATAGATTCTTGTGTTTCGAACTAATTTCAATAAATGCTTATACATTGAATCTGACAATTTAAAAGTAAAAAATTAATCTTATTTTTGTTACAGAAAAAGCTATAATTGAGATTATTATTGTTACTTTGTGTCAAAAAGTTTTGCATCTCGAAAAGAATCAAACTATATGTGGAAACATGACGTGTTGGAATTTTTTGGCTTGCGAGCATTTAAAAAACTATAAGAAATACCTAGTCCAGTTCAAAGTAATTTTTTGCTGTAAATCAGTGTAATTATTTGTAAATATCTAATTAAGGCAATAATTAAGTAAATTCCTATTTCCAAAAATCCAAAGTAATGACTTCGATTTTGATTCAGAAAGAATAATAAATCACGCAATATCTCCTTTATTGGCCTTCCTATAATTAGAGTTAAATTAATGATAAAGGAAGAGGAAAGAAAGAGTAATAATAAATAATAATAAGAATTAATTGAATACATTAACAATTGTAAATTATTTAAAAAATAATCTCGAGAGTAACGCGATAGAGAAATCAGTTTGTTCCAATGTCAGCGTGCATATATATGATCGCGTGTGTTGACGCATATATTTGTAAAAACAACCACCAAAACTGTACGTTAATCATCTCGAAAAATGTTTACTTTATTACAATATAAATTTGTGTAAATATTCTGTTTTTTGCATTTTAAATCAATTTGTGGGTTATATCGTACATTAAATATCTACCGTTTATTTGAAGAATAAAATATATTTAATCAAAAGAATATGTACGTAAATTAATTTATTATTATTTGAAAGCCAAAATTTTGGGTTCCAAGGGAAATAAAATTATGTAATCTTAATAAACTGTAAAAATAAAATACAAATGTCAATTAATTACAATCAAAATCATCAGAATATGTTGATCGATGCGCGAGATTTTACACAGAATTTTCTACGTAAGGAGACTCTTTAGTACATTTTATATAAAAAATGTAGCTTTATAAAATTATATTTTCAAAAAAGGTAAAAAACCGCTTAAATGTTTAGTTATTAATAATAATTGTTTTTTTTGTAATTAGGATATCATACCTTTGATTGTTATAACAGAGTCAAGCTTTTTTTTATTAAATTTTCTTTACTTTTAAAATTTAATTAAAACTAATATTTTCTTTGATATAGGTATGTTATAAACGTAATGTGGAACTTATTATGTTTTAAAAATTCATTCATTTGAAAATACATATTCAATTATATTAAAATATACATAGATACATATTCATACAATATACACAATATTTATATGTGTTTTATTGGATATTGAAGCATGGCAATGGAAAGAATTTAATTTTATACTTTACATAAACTTTTATTCCCAGTTGGCGCAATTATTTAAAATCATAACTTTTATAAGAGAAACAGATTTAAACGCTACAAAATTCGTGTAAAATGTTCTTTAAGTTTTAATATATTTTATTTGAAAATATATTGAAAAATATCTTTTTCATTTTATTAATACAATACAATATTTTTTGCATAACATGTTTTTTTTTACAAACACGTGCACGTGACGCGATCTTTTACCCTTTTTTTGAAACGTTTATTGATTTTTTCTCTGGCAATGACAAAAGAAATTAATACCAAAACCATCTTGCGAGTTTATCTCCTCGATTAAGTTTACCGAAGCTGCCAGAACTTTTTTTGTGCATAAAGCTTCGATTCGCGATTTAATGAATGGGGGAGCGATACAATCGGTTTTGAAATGCGGACATATATTTGCGTCAGATAACAGCAGTTAACGGCATAACTTACTGTGATTTACGGGCAATACGGTCGTATTTTTATGGCACACTGTTCCATTAGCTTCGATGTGCATGATTTATGCAAAGTGTTCTTGGCACTCTCTCTCCCTCTCCTTCTTCTTTCGCGAAAGGTACAAGACTACTCTTCTACGTCCACTCACGAAAGTCGACCGCGTATAAATATACCTTGTCTGCGCCCGCTTGTATATCGCGTGTAAAGTTCAGAAGCGAGCAGCGACTTTCCGGAGTCTAGGGCTAATAATTTTCGGAGGTCACCAACAGCTGGCCAGAAGGACGTGTCGATAGAAATTCTGTTTCCTATTTTATAGCTATAAATGATTGTAAACGAGGAAGAGGGGAAGAAATGATATATCCCTTGTTTATTTTGATTAATCGTCTAATTAAAAGTTTCGGGGAAATTTTGACAGACTGTTCGCATCACGCACCGTTCTTTTTTTTTCATTACAGGTGTCATGGGTGCGTAGACGGGGAGAGGAGCTTCATCTACTTACCATTGGCCTCGATACGTACGCGAGCGACTCCAGATTCTCCCTGGCCTTTGAGAAGCCTAATGACTGGCGATTGCTTCTGCGCTCCGCCACGGAACGCGATGCCGGCCTTTACGAGTGTCAAGTCAGCGCTCACCCACCATTAATCAGAACTGTCCATCTAGCGGTGTCAGGTAAGTGAGCGCGTCATTGCGTGTGTGTTCATCTGACCGTCCGGGACTTGGCAAGCTCCGAAGCAATCAAGAGCTGCTATTTCCTACTACTACTAACGATATGCACTTTGATCTGACGACCGCACTGCGGCCCGTAAATCACTGTGTTTGTATAGGATGTCTCGAAACCGTCGCCATTATCGGAAGCCACAGATATTAATGGTCGGAATAAGAAAAAAAAAACGTATATCAGATTTGACGACAACTGGAGATTATTGAAAACCGAGTTATTTAAACGTTTCTATTTAAAGAAATTACAGATTGCTTAAACAATTCGGTAATGGGAGTATGTGGAATCTGAGGCACTCTATATCAATTCGCGCAGCTTTCTGTTTTTAGTGTAATCCCTATGAGATGCTTGTTTCGAGTTGTTTCGCGACATTCGTAGCTATTTGTATATTAAGGCACCGGATGAGGGCAAATTATGTTAATGGCGAAGATGAAAAGCCATGTATGCATTATTCTCGTAATCTACTCTTATAAAGTACTATTAAAGTAGAAAGTCCGCGCGCATTCTCTGTAGATACATAATCCATGTGTCCCGTGGCGCGTTTTCGCTGGACCATAAATCACGGTAGCCACGTCGTTAGGGTCGTCCTCTTCGTGGCATAATGGCGATCTCGATGCTGTAACGATGTTCTCGTGGCGCCCACGTCCAACGCCACTTAATTGGAGTCCCGTCCCTTACTCGTGTGTCCTTCCTTTCTTTCTTTTTTTTTTTCAATTCGCGCGTATCCGTATTTTTCTTTCATTATTGACAATGTAGCCGCGCCGGTCGGTGATATACGAGTTGCACGATTTCACCTGGACCCTCCGTGTGCATTGAACAAAACTAAAAATACAGAAACTGTGTGCTGAACTATGTTCAAGGTACGATAACAATGTCTTCCTTTAATTTCACAGCGAATAAAGATATTTAACTTCAATAACGGACTATAACTTGTTCTCTAATAGCGTAGTAAGCTCATTATCATCTATCATCTATGCACAACCGACTTGCACCGGATAATTCGTGACTGACTCAGCCGACTATCAATGATTGATTGATAGCGGGCAATATCGCAGTTGTCAGCTATATTTGATTAATAACGGACGTAAGACTAATAGACACTTTGAAGATCAAATTCGGGCTTTCACCTGCAACGTCCGATGATATCTCTATATAGACGGTTTTAGACGGTACCCGTAGTACGTGTAGTTGAGCGAATAGTTCGGTCGAGATTAATGAGACTGGCGCGCGCGTTGAAAAGAGAACTTGGAACACTTGCAGTTTCAGAATTTATATATTCGAATAAAAGCGATTATGTATATATATATATATATATATATATATATTTATGCGCGCAGAATAACTGTAAATTAATTACGGTGCCACGAGCACGAGTGACGTGTGTCGCGAAGTATAAATTTACGATGATGAGCGTTTCAGAACCGTTGCCAGAACGTCTCCTTTCAGAAGCGCGCCATTCTTTGCTTCAACAAATAGTTAAGTCTTGCATCTTTGTTGGTCGATATGAGAAAACTTTTTCTTTCCTACGTTTCTTTTTTTAAGTTTTTGAAACTCAATTATAATCGGATCTATCTGTACGACGGTGAATACATTGTTAATATGGCATACGCAAGGGGGAAGATAGATCTAATTGGATACAAGATGTAACTTATTCTTAAAAGTTCGCATACTTTACTTTGGTATAAAATCTCGATTTGACAAATGCGCGTGCTTGACAACTTGTTGGACTGCATTACGGGGAAACATAGTGATAAGAACGGCGGAAGTATACGTGGCGAAAGACGGAGAGATATATAGAGAGGACGAGGGGAGGGGGTACAGCAGGCGAGAGATGAAATCAATATAGGTATGTAGATATCGAAATATTTTTCAGTCACCGTATAACTGCAATACGAGGGGGTTATGAAATATCTGACCGAAATACCAGGTACAGGGCTGGAATAAATTCCGTGTTCTGTGAAATAAACGGAATATTTCGCGGATCCAACTGGTGGAACGGAACGATTGCGGTATATTATTCTCCTACATATCGTTCGGCTTTCGTTTTAAGTTATAAAGTCCGTTCGAGCGTATCATTTTTCCATAACCTCCGGTCGAGCATCGATATGGCTACGCGAAGATCTTCCTTTGTACATTAAGAATCTCTCGAGCAGTAGGACCACGATACAATATAACAGCTTGAACCGGAGTACACTTTTTGGTCCCTTTTGCCAATATAATCCTCTATGTACGAATCTCTTTATACGCATGCAGCATATTCCTTGTATCTTTATTCTATGATTCACGCGTCGTAAAACTTTTGCGGTGCTCGCTTCAGATTTAAAGCGTTCTCACGATTTTTTGAAACTTATTACTTTTGTTCTTGGGCGGAACGGAGGGGGGGGGGGGAAATTCGCGAGTAATGATTTCCTTTGAGAACGTGCTTGATGCGTTCGTTAACGTCGAGAATTCCCGGCGCTCTCCTTTTTGTTTTTCGATCTTGCGCATTTCCACATCTGGCTTACTCGCCGCCGCTCCGTAGCGGCCTTATCGCGTGCAAGGATTTCTATAATGACCCGTAAAAGTTGCGACGGGCAGCGGGATATCATTTATTATCGCGACTTTACTTTTCTTTCATTTCTTCTATCCTTCCATTAATCAAAAAGCCATCGTTGTCTCCCCGATGAGCTATTTATGTTATCACGCGCAAACCAAGGTAACGCTGTTCATTGTTGTAGGCTTTAACGTTGCCGTTCAACATCGGCGAGTTCGGGACGGGAGGGGGGGGGGGACGCGGCTGGCTTACGTAGAAATAAAGTTGCGTTACGGAACTTAAGAAATAATTCCTGGTCGGCGGCACTGTCCGGGGGAAGGGGGAGCTTTATTTCTGGCAAACGTTCAAATAGTTAGGAACTTAAATTCCACCGAGCGCGTTCGGCGGCTTTTCCGAGGGCGTAAACTGCTTGTGCCAGAGCGCCCAGTCTCTCGTTTTCACTGCCGGTCTACATTGAGCTTTGGCGTTGTGAATTTTACGAGCCTCGGGCCACATTCTAATCGGATTTCCATAATGGCCTATCGATTGATGTCGGCCCGGTACAAAAAGAGCGCGAAATGAATACAAGAAAGAAAGAGAGGGAAAGCGTGTCTCCTTCGTCGTCGTTCCGAGCAGTTAATGTATAAAATCGACAGGTCACTTTGTAAAATAAAACGACAGAAATGGGAAAAGATTTCAAAATTTCCTCGTATCTTTTTAATGCTATTGTCCAATCGATCGGCTGTCAGCGAGGAAGCTGCGCTGCATGTGCATCCCGTTCGTCGAACGTGGCTCTCATTCCATATTCACTTAATATCCGAGAAGGGATATGTCGATTCCTATGTGGCTTAGGAATGGCGAAATTTTCGCATAGACGCGATATGTATTGCGCGCGGAATGCCGGGAAGAATATTCAAGCGCGATTAGATCGGGATGCTAGGTCGATCCAGAAACGTCGCTTTCCGAAGGTTTGTACGTGCGACGCCGGGATTTTCGGGATTGGTCTTTTCCTACGACGAGGACGACGACGACGACGACCACACATTCGCGGACGAACGTTCCGTTATAAAGTCGAGAGTCGGAGGAATATATATAGGGATTCTAACGGCAGCTTATGCAATCCCGTCGCTTTTCGCGACGGGGGGAAGAAAGGAAACGTGTACTCGAACTATACGGGTCGCCACCCGCGCGCGTTTTCCTTTACCCGTACACGTACCGGCGTCAGCGGCGGCGGCGGCGGCGGCGGCGGCGGCGCTTCCCGTCTCAGTTGGCCGGAATAAATCAGGACTTGCCAATACCGGGCGCTCTAGCGAAGTCTTATTACACAGTCTCTGTACCTACCCGCGTCACGCTTATTTATAAAGAAAAGTTTACTCGCTCAACAGTCGATTCTTCTTTTCTCGCTCGATCCCTCTCCCCGTTCTCATTATCGTGTATCCAAAAGCCGTAATTCTCACTAGAACGGAGAACCGGATTGCACACTGAATTTCCGTTAGCGAGTGTTGACTTCATCGTGCTTCTTATAATCAAGAATAGTGATCGAAACTGTTGAAACGTTAAAACTATATACGTTGCACACACCGTTTTCCCAAACGAGCGATTGTAGCCAATCGTGTTGGAAGGTATTAAAGGGTTATTACCAATATCGATTCCGATGTTATATATCCCATTCGCGTGCGAAGTCTGAATGGCAAATATGATCGATCGCGTAATAATCATGCGATCTCTTATCCGTTCTTATTCGCTGCTGAAATAGCTTGGCCGCGTTCACAGCCAAGAATCCGTCATAGTAATATTGCCGACGACAAAAGAACGCTTGTGCAAATTCCAACGTGTCGCTCTATCGTTCGTGCGAAATTACATCGACGAATTCCTGGCGTGGATCTCTCGGCGTTTAGAGAGAAGATAGAGAGAAAGAGAGAGAGAGAGAGAGAGAGAGAGAGAGAGAGAGAGAGAGAAAGAGGAAGACGGGACATTATCCCGGTGAAACAATGAGTTCCTCCTTCGCATCGGGCGCGACAATGGTTTTTCTTACCACTTCGTAATAGCATCGCGTTAGATTATGCCACGTAATGCTGTATAAACGAGCCGCTCCGCGCCGTTACCGGCATGGTAAATTTTCATCCCCGGTCTCTCGGCCGCGCGACAAGATCGAACTTTAAGTAACTGGAAGCACGGTTTTTCCGCGAAAAGGAAATTCAAGTCGATAAACGGCGGTTCTAACGGCGCTTGGCAATTGCCGCTTGTTATACCGGTAATTTTCGGATGCCTTAGTGCCTACCCGCGACGCGGACGCTTTATCTTACCTAATGGCTGTTATCGTTCTCTGCCTCTTATCGTATCCGATGTTAGGGATTCTTATACCGAGAGTCGTAGAGGCGGTAACTCGGAAAGTGCTTACATCAGCGGCATTATTAACGCGGGCGTCCATTAAAACGG